CTCAAGCAAAAAGAGGAGGATTGGCATGGATGTTAGCTCAGGGCTGATCTTCCTCAGAAAAAAAAAAAAATCACAGTAAGAGAAGTTTCCAATTTATTCAATGAATAAATGGATATTGAATACTATACCATGTATCAGGCTCTATGCCAAATTCTGAGATATAGCTGTTACCAAGCTTACAAGGTCTCTCCTTGCAGAATGAGGACACTTCTGCAGTCTGACAAATGATATTTAAGAGTTTTACACTTATAAAAGCATAATTTTCAAACTTTCTTACACAATGTGTCAAAAGAAATTAAAGCCATAAGACGAAAAATAAAGTTCAAACAACACACGGGTTATATACTTGTGTATTTTCTATGAAATTTAAGTAGCATCTTGATAAAGGAAGTTGCTTTCAAATGTTGATATGATAAGGCATATCCGTATCAATTTTTATGATCCAATTAAAATTCAAAGATAAGTCTCTGATTCAATTTCCTGATAAAATGAGCTGGTACACTTTAATAATAAGCCTATAGTTTGCACACTGATTCCTCATGTGTCTGAAGCCAAATTCAATCTTCTGCCTTTATACTTTCTCAGTATACATTATCTGAAAATTTTTGACAACTTAATAGTTCTGCCAAGGCCACATGTACACAGATACCTGGACTAGAAAACTGTTTCCATGGGTCACCTTGCTAGAAAGATCTGATTTCATGAAAGAAAACAGCAATTTCTTACATCAAGTAGCAAATCCTGAGTTAAACCAAAGAAGAATGTGGCATCTTATAACCAAAAGACCTACATTACTGAACTTATTAAATACAAGGCCTTTTATTATTTATCTCTATGGCAGAGATACAGTGTAAATCCCTACAAAGTGGATGGAGACAACTAAGTGGAGATCTAAAGGATACAGAAACACTGGTTAAGAGAAAGTGAAGAAAAAAGGAGTATACTAGTAGAACAGCACAAGCACTGCTAGGAGCAGAGAGCACATATGGTGTTCAAGAAGTGAGGAACGCAGGATGCTATGACACTAGTAAGCGGAGGGATGACAAGATGTGAGCGTCCAGGAGTAAGCAGCGGTCAGATCAGGTAGGTTGGGTATGCAAACTGTTATCAGTTCACAATGACACACTCCATCCTTGCTTTCATGGATTCCGTATTTAGGAAATGAAATTATGAATTCAGTTTTGCACATGTTAAGGTGTCTATGGAACAACTAAGCATAGACAATCAATAGTTGTCAAAATCATTATTATTCATTCTGAATTTTATCATAAACCCATGATTAAATGGTTAGATTATGGAGTAAGAAGGGCACAATAAGAGACAACATCCTGCATCTACGGATTTAACAGTTTCCCACTGGGAGGCATTATGGTGTAATGGAAATAGTATCGCCAAGCCTCTGCTTCCTCACCTGTGCAACAGAAACACCACCAGGTACCTTGCAGGGTTACCAGAGGAAATTCTCACCTCTTTTCTGGAAAAAGCTCCAGCTCACAAACATCATTGTTATCAAAGGCTGGCAGGCTTGTCTGGGAGCAAAGAGATGGGCCTAGCAGTTTTGTTAGATCAGAAAAGATGTCATGATAATTAACGCTAATATTTATGAGTAGGTACCATGTGCCAAACATTACATGCTTTACACACATGAACTCATTTCATCTTCACGACAATCCTGAGGTAGACACTATTATCACCTCCATTTTACAGATGAGGAAACTGAGGCACGTAATAGTAAATGACCAGCCCAAAGTCACTCTGAAAGGCAGTACAAACACAGATCCCTCTTATACAACTGAATAGAAGTAGGAATTTGTTTCTAGAGATAATATATGGACTTTAGGAGAAAAAAAGAAAGGAAGGAAGGATGCATGAGAGAAGACAGGAAGGAAGAAAGGAAGATTCCAGTTATAAACATTGGAAGGAGTGCTATAGAAATCTGATTACAAAAATACCCCTTAGTGATGGAACCTTTCAGAGTGGGAGAAAAATTTGTTTCAATACCAAGGTCTCCTCATTCCCAATCCTTTCTTCAGATTCTAAGGCCCTGCCCTTCTACTTTCTGGATATATTGTTTTGATCATCTATGTCCTCCTGGTTCCTCAACCATACCAAGGTAGAGGTCAAGAGTACAGACTCTAAAGTCAAACTTCAGTAATGAGTGTGTCATTTATCAACTTGATTATCAGCTTATGTATTGGGGTGAGCAAGTTATAACCTCTGTGCCTCAGTTTCCTATAAGTAAAATGGGGATAATAATAGTATCTATCTCATATGATTGTTGTCAGAATTAATTGAAGTGATATGTATAAGGCTCTTAGAACAGTATCTAGTAAAGCTCAAAAAATATAGCTATTATTATTATCATCTAATTCCTCTAACAGTATAATACACCCAAAATTTATGGTGCTATGCATTTATTTCAAAGTTGGTTGTTCAGAACACTGAATGCTTTTCTTCTGGAAAGCATTTCAAGTGGGGTGCGTCTCTGTCTTCACTGTCCCGTCCTAGTGCAAGCCCTAACAGAGTTTTGCAATTGCCTACTAATTGTTCTACCACTCCACGGCAGTCACCATGCAGCCAGCAGTGATCTTTATAAACATGTGTCATTCTCCTGCTTAAAAGTTCTCAACAGCTCCCTACTGCCTACAAATAGAGAATCCAATCTCCTTCAAATGGCATATAAGGCCCTTTACAATCTGTCTTTACCCTCCACTCCCAGTTTCACATGTAGTAACTTCTCTGAATAGCTAGAGCCATAGCAGACAATTCATTATTTCCTAAACGCCCATGCATTTTAAGAGACTGTATGTGCTTTTCCCTATGTCTGAGAAAACTGTCCTCGCCACCCCTAGGCTCAGAAAACTATTCGTCTTTCTAAGGCCTAGATGAAATGCCACCTTATTCACTTATTCAACAAGGAAACTTACGTAATATCAAAATGTGCAAGGAAGGCCCTATGAAAATAAAGATAAGAAATAATTCTAGCATTTGGGGAACTTATACCTATAAGGAGAGAGACATGTTAAAATAAAATAACAACATGGTATACTATGAGCAACATGTATAAGATAGAAGGAAGCAGTCCCGAGGCTGGGTTCTACAGGATATGGATTTCTCTGTCTCCATCCTTACCATTTTTAATTGGGCCATGATCTTGGTAACTACCTTTATAACTACCTCTTAATAATACTCAATACGTTGTATTACAGTCCTGTGTTTAATATCTATCTACCCTAAGACTGTAATTCTAGGGCAGGGATTTATTCACCCTTTGTATCAACACCTTGGGGGTGACCAGAATATAACAAAAAACAACAATTGTTCTTTGAACTGAATTGGATAGTTAGGTTTCCATATTAACCAAAAGCCTTCTTAACCCATAATGTAACTGAACTATAGTAGCAATAGAACCTTAGAACCTAATCAGTATTTACAACAAGGCATTGAGAAGTCAGAACAGCTCTAACTTGGAATTATTCAGTACTTCAATAGAGAAATCTAATTTTCTAACTCTGAGAGCAGTACTGCTATTTTGCTCCAAATGGAGTAGCGTGTCTCTCTCTGACAACCTCACATGAACTAGTCTATTGAGTTCAACAAATACCAGAAGCAGAAGCTCTAATTCCTGCTCAACAAACAGTTTGTTTTTCTTACCTCCTTTGCCAGGGGATAAGGACTGTAATTACCTAAAGACTGCAGTAACATGATAGTTTCCTCCTCTTGGTCCTGGAAGTCCAGGTTTAGTCACTCATTTACTTAAATATCTGTGAAGGATCCACTGTAACAGACACTGTCTTAGGCATTGGGGATACAGCAGTCTCTTCTCTTATGGAACTTACATTCCAGCTTGAGAGACATACAGCAAACATATAACATGTCAGATGGTTTGGGAAATAATGAGAAAAATAAAGCAGGGTAATAAGTCAAAAAGTGAAGGCAGGGAGGCAAGGAGAAAACTATTGGTGGTACATTAGACAGGGTGGTGAGGGACTCCCTGATAAGACATTGGATCAGAGATTGAAGGAAGTGAGGGAGAGAGAGCCATGCAAACATCTGAAAAGCTTTCTAGGCAGTGAAGCCAGCAAGTGCAGAAACCCTGGTGTGGGAGCATGTTTGATGTGTGAAACAAACCACAAGGATATCAATGTGGCTAAATTACTGTTGGTAGTTAGTAAGGGGCAGAGTGGAAGAGGATGAGAGAGACGACCTGAGCTAGATCAGGCTAAGGATTGTGGATGTTATTCTGAGATGAGAAGGCACTGGGTCATCCTGAGCAAATAACTGACATGATCTGAGACACATTATAAAAGAACACCTCTGGCTGTTACAAAGCTCTAATTAGTACAAAGGAGCAGTAACTGGGCAGAAGACGATCATGTCGTCTGCAATTCTTTGTAACCTAAGAAGCTAACACTAAGAATGATGGTAAAGAGGAGTAGCATGGACACCTTATGGTTGAAGGCCTCAAAGTATATTTCTTTCCTTTCAACATCAAGCGTCTCTGAGAGAGAGAGTTATCCACTGCTACTTTTAATTTACTCTGCTTTAACCACCTACTCTTCTTTTATTACTATCCGGTCTCTAACTCCCAACCACAGGCACGCACCAACATCCATCTTCCTCTTACCTCGTTTGGCCTTTTGCTCCTCGCTCCCCATGAAATCTATCCCATTTTTGCAATTTCAGATACTCCTCTTCCTTTTCCCCTTGACTACTTTTCTTTTTGCTGCTGTAAGCAGCGGCAGTTTCGTCCGTTTTAACTAATTAACTGTGATGCTGTAAATGTCTAGTAAAGGAATGTGCAAGCTCGAGCAGCTGACAGCGTCCTTTCCCTGAACACCACTTCCCTAAGCCCTCCCACGGGGCCAGAGTCGCCCCTTCGGCCACAAATGGAGATAAAACTCGGGCGGCTGACAGCAAACCAACTCGCAGCCCCTGCTTCCCGCAAACTCAGCCCGGCCTCTCCTTTGCGCAGCCAAAGCTCAGCCCCGGTACGTCACCTCCACGGTCGGCAGTGCCTTTGTCCTCCTCTTCCAGCTCCGATGCTGCGGCCTTGGCTATCATTTTCATCTTCTTCTTCTTCTTTAGGGAATTTTTCAGCTTTTTCCCCGCGCTCACACGTGAGTCCTGAACGGCGGCCGCCATGTTCCCTCGTCGGAAGCGTCCCCTGAGCGTTGCATCCGGCGGAAACCAAAGGAACTTGGGCATCTAGTTCCGGGAACACAAGGGTCCGGGGCGGGGCCTTCTAGCCCGGAGTTCCGGGGCTGGGGCTTCAGAATGTGGATCGAGAGAGATCTGAATGGCCGGTGGACTCCTCTCCGGTAAAAACAATTAGTGAATGTACGTTCTCAGCGGACTCCTCTGCAAGCTCGCCTTTGCCCTGGTCCGCGCCCCGCTCTGGCCCCAACCCGGCCTGGTCCACTTTCATTTCCTCCCCGCGGCCCCTCCCCTTATCTGCTGCTTTTATTTAATGTTGCTTTAGGGTGTTCCACAAATGTCCCTTAAGTGCCTACTGAATGCCCTAGAAGATAAGAAGCAAGGAAAATGCATTCGGGGTCGATAATTAGAATATGAGAATATCATCCTCTCTCCCCCATCACCACCACCACAGATTCACAGCCCAACGTCGAGAACTTCCTTAAAACTTGATCAGATAATCTCCCTCTGGCTAATCTTCTGAGTGGTTTCCAATTGCAAACCGAATAGCATCTCGCTTTCTCCACGCCGATCCCAGGTGTTACAGGATCCAGCCCCACCCCCTCCTTCCCACCCGCTCGGTGCAGACCGAGTGTGCAAAGCCTCTGGTCTCCGTGAGATGCCCCTGCCTCCCTCCCGGGGCCAGCTTCTCCCTGAAGTCAGCCTCTGTCACCTGCTCTCACAGCACTGCATTCCCTAGAAGCATTCCCTCAATCTGCTCCTATCCCCCGCCCCACAACTTGACAGTAGGGAGCATATTTCATTCACAATTCTACCTCCAAGGCTAGCAACAGGGCCTGGACTATTCACAAGGTTAATTAGTCAGACAGTTAATGTAACAACCCCTGACATCATGTTCTGTAGGCTAGGAATGTTCTAAAGGCTTTAGTTCCTAAGCTTAGCGTTCTCCCTAAAGAGCACTTCTTGGTTTTTAATACCCAAAATTTCTAAAGGAGTTCCAACCATTCAATTCAACATATTCTAGTTGATGTTCATATAGGAAAAAAATTATATTTACATCCCCGAATCTCAATACATTTTTAAAACAAAACAGTGTGCAGGAAAAGTTACATTCCAAATACAATTGGTAAAAGATCAAATTCCAGCATAAACCTTTTGAAAAGTGCAATTATTGTCAACAAGAGAGGTGCATCTCACGGGTCTCATAGGATGTTGCTGGTGCCAGGAAATTCTCACCATCCTGTTCGGTGTAAGCCTTTCGCTGCCACTGGGTGTTGATCTAGAACCTGCGTCCTGCTGATTTTCATATTTAGCCCTTGTTTTTGCCTAGTGTTATACAATGAGTTCACAACAAAGTTGGGAAAGCAATGAAGAAATCTGTAAAGAAGGAAGCAAAAGTGAGGGAGAAAAATGATTGCCATGGAAAGGAAGATGTCTGGCAAAGGAGGCACCAACTGTTCATATTATTTGGTGAGCAGGAGGGATGTTTTGAGCATTTTGCGTCTTAATAGGATGGTTTATTTATGTATGGGGATTTACTACGTTTAGTTACAATTTAAGAAATTGCTTGGAGGAAATGATTGGTTGATTTGTTATATATTCACATTTTTCGTTTTTAAAATAACGTAAAATAGGCTCCATTTTTCCTGCAGAAAACTGATTTTCAGAAAGAGATTACTACTATTAAGTGGGAGATTCCTGTATTAACTTATTTAATCTTCACAATAAGCCAATGAGTTAGGTACTATTGTTCCCATTATATAGATGAGGAAACTGAGGTACAGAAAATATTTAATAATTGCTCAAGGTCATACAGCCAGTAAATGGCAGAATCACATTCAAATCTCAGTAGTCTTCTCTGGGGTCTATTCAACCACTGAGCTACATTGCCTACTCAGATTGTTGCACTTTACCATTTAACAAGTATGTACTGAGAATAGACATTCGAAATTTCAGGAAATTTCACACACTGGAATCTATAAATTAGGGGAAAAAAATCTCTGTCTTTAAAATGAGCTAAAATAATTGACAAGATGCAAATAGAATGTCCATTGTATGATGGAAATAACTGAAGTCACCTATATACTTGTATGAGAATTTGTAAAAACATACGTGTGATAGTTATCAATTTATTGCCTCTCAGCTCCACGTTCACCCTTTTGGGCTGCTCTGTGAAAAGGCAGCTGGGTCCCTTAAATATTTTTCTTTTGCTTACTGGCGGGACGTTTAGCTTCATCAGTAGAGGGCACTAGAGTGACATTGTTTGAGGAAGGAACCTTCTTCCTGGTTCCAGTGTGCTTCTCTCTGCAGACTCCTGCCGTAGCTTCTCCAGCCTCAGACTTGTAGCACAGGTGGCTTCTCCAGCCTCAGACTCGTAGCACAGGTGGCTTCTCCAGCCTCAGACTCGTAGCACAGGTGGCTTCTCCAGCCTCAGACTCGTAGCGCAGGTGGCTTCTCCAGCATCTGGCTCCTGCAATGCACAGTGGCCAGCAGCCTGTCTCAGCAACCCCCTTATGCAGCGTCATAGCAGAGTGCCTCCAATGGGATGCCTGCCCATGAACAACTTTCTCTGGCACCTTAAAGGACATCAATTTCCGAAAAGTTCTGGAGGGTGGATATCCAGCAAGTCCTGCTTGCACAGCGCCAGTGAGCCACAGCCATGCCCTCTCCAAAAAGGTCTGGACTTCAGTTGTGTGTGTGTGTCGGGGATGGGGGACACTTCTTCCTTGGATGCTGTATCTCAACTCTGGTGATGGTCTCTGCTTCTTTTATCTGCTATTACTATATTGTTTAGAGTTCTCCTCACTTCTTACTAGCCGATACCTTATTACTCCAATACTCGGTTACAGTTAACAATTCTGTATATATAAACTTTCCTATTCAAATTATTAAGTGATTTCCGTCTCCTGATTGGCCCTGACTAATAAAAAGCTAGAATGGGTGTTGTGATGAAAATATTATCACTACCCACATACTATCCCTGTCTGCCTACAGCACTCTGTGGAAGTTCCATAGAGGGTCACTCAGTTTTGGAAGAATGGGCAGCATTAAGAGAAGAATTCCTTGTTAAAACACCAATATTCATAGGAGGATAACAGATAAAATAATTTCTTCTGGATGATTTTTTGCAGCTTGGCTGATCTGAGTGCATTGGAGAGCTCCATGGACATGGAACAGATAAGAGGGATGGGTAATTGCACAGTGTATCCAAAGCAAGGGGTCTGGTAAGGTCTGGTTGCAAAAATGATCAGGCAGGAGCTCTGGAAAGAGATTCTGGTTAAGTGATAGTTCTTGGGTTCTCTACATAGAGAGGAATCTATGAAGGGAGAGTGTAAAGAGAAAGAAGATATCTCAGGATCATAGAGAATATCAGGGTTGCTATGTGGGAAGGCACTAGAAAGAGGGATCAGGATAGAGAGTTACAAGAAGAGCAGTGCTAAGTCCTTAGTGGGATAAATTCCCCCAAAAGAAGAGATTGTCATAAATGTTAAACTCTACTGTTTAAGAGTTTAAGAGGAAAAGAAATCACAAACATTTAATTGATTTGTCACTTTAATAAGACATGTAAAGGAAAGCTTAAAAAATGTAAAATAATGTACCTTATTCCTGAAAGAGAGATCAAATTTTCTAAAGATATTCATCTATTCCAACCAAAACCCCACTGGAATTAATTTGGGGAGGAGAGAGGCAGAGAGTGAGGTCTTGATAAAATAATTCTAATGTTCAAAATAATTAAATAAGAATAATATTTTTTAAAAGAGGAGTCTTGAGGCAAAGCTTGCCTGTTCAAATGTCAGAATATACAATAAAGCTACAATAATTAAAATGTACAAATCAAAAGAAAAAATAAGTGAAGATGAAACAAAACTCTAGAATATATGAAAACTTAAAATATTATACAGGAAGTATCATAAATAAAAAAGAGAAGGGATATGTTATGCAAAACTTATTTTAGTAACATTAACAGTTTATGGAGAAAAATAAAATTAGAGGCTCATATCTTACCCTAAAATTAATTCCAGAATTAAATATGAAACAAAATGTAAGAAAAAAAGAAAGAAGTGAATGTCTGATTTATTGGGATTGTAGAAACAACTTTCTAAGTTTAAAATCAATAGGAGTAATTTCTAAAAAAGAAAACAATGGATCTAATTATATAAAACCCCAAAACCATATATCTAAGAAAATGATAAAAATGTAGAGGTAAATAGAATGTGAATAAGATTGGAAATCAAGTTTAAGATGACTGCATAAAGAATTTGTATGACTTCCACATCTGGTCAAGATGGAGTAACGGGGAGCAAATTTATCCTCCCACCTGGAGCAACCAAAAAATTAGGCAAAATAAATAGAGCAACAGTTTTCAAGAATGAGATATTAGATAATGAAGAATAATGATCACTGAGAGATGGGAAACAAACTAGGTGATCCCCATGATTACCCCAGCACACTGCTTTGAAAAGTTTCCAGACCAGGGCACAGGGAGGGGGGATCTAAGCTAAGCCTGGAAGACTTTCCAAGTTGAAATGATATAGCTAAGAGTTAGGGGCGACTGAGGCAACTAGAAATGGCAGGGCAGAGTACTGAGAGAAGAGAGAGAACTCAGGAGATCTGCAAAGAGGCTCCCTCAAGAATTTAGGTGACTACTGCTTAGTGCGTGCATGTGAGAAACTACCTAAGACCAGGGAAAGAACCAGCCAAAAGAACTAGAGGCAACAGTTACCTATGCACACATAGGACTGGGAATAGTGCCTGTTCCCACCAGCCAGACTGGAAAAACCTCATGATTCACAGGGTATTAGAGTACCTATCAAAAACTGTGGAGGGTATGAGATTTTATCTTGTTTGCAAGCTAACAAGTGGCTTGCCAAAATTTCATGAATGCTGGTAGAAGACACAAGACTCCTGGGTAAGAAAGGAAGGACAATTTATTTATTATTCAAAGAAATAATAGTAGCAAGAGTATCAGCAATTTTTTTGTCAATTCTCTGAGCTTCA